AATTAAATTGTACTTATATTATAATTGAATGAGTGTCAAAAAGTGTGTCGAACTAAGTATATAGCAATAATTTTCCAAAAGTAAGCAAAAGATTAAATACCAATAAAATAATGCTAAGTTTGGCCTTTTATGTTTTGAGTTAAAAACATTTCTAATATATAAAGGGAGGGAGAGGAAGACAAATTGGGTAAAAAGGATATATAATGATAGAAAGATATATTTGCAACAAAATATTAAGAAAGAACAAGAGAGAGGGGATGACAAGGGATAAAGAGCTATTAAAAAGTAAATTATTAATATCGAGAGGGATTTAAAAAGAGATATATATATATATATACACACATACATACTAAGATAATATGAGAAAGTAAAGGTGAAATAGACACAAAAAAATAATGAAAATATAAAATAATGTGAAAAGTATCAATTTAAGAAAGAGAAATAATGAGAGATATGTTGGTTTAATGCATTCCAAGAGGGGTGAATTAGAGTTCAAAAATTTCCTTCTTTTTGTAAGCAATTTCCTTCTTTTTGTAACCAATTTCCTTCTTTTTGTAAGCACAAACCAAAAATTAAAGAGAGTAGGGAAGAAGAGCTTCCACAATAATTTTATAAATGTAAGGTTTAACCACTTGAAACTTAGTCATTTACCTTGACTTCACTCACCGAGGATTTCCTCCACACTTTCCACTAAAAAAGTCAATGGCGGCTTAAAGGAGCCACTCAATCCTTTTACAAAAGAAGCATATTTCTCTTAAATCTCACCTTTTTACAAAATAAACCCATGAATCCTCATTATAGATCACTCTTGAAAAAATAATCACACCCTTAAGATAACTTACAAATAAAACAAAAAGAGGATTACAAGTAAAGATCACTCAAAGATCAAAATTTCAAGTTAAAGCACAAGTTGTTAGGTGAAGATATTCAATACAATACTCAAAAACTTATTTCAAATCTTTTAGCAATCGTATTTATACCCTCTTGATCGAAAATAATCGTTTCTAGTTATTGGGGTTCAATAAATGCTCTGCAAATCAATTAAGTTTGACTTGTAGATTTGTCAGTAAAATGGGCTCTACCTCCAAAGTCGGCTTTGTGGAGTTGGCTTTGAATTATAGAGTCAACTTTGTGGTCCTCATGCACATTCTATTTTCTTGAAGAACCAATTGCAAAACGTCAAGTCAGCTTTCTTCAAAAGATTAAAATATTCTTTAAATAACTTAACCGTGGAGCATTAAATGTGCCATCACAGCCAGTTGCAAAGTTATAGCCGACTTTGCATCTGTTTTCCACTTGTGCCAAACTAGAGGTTTAAATCTTTCACCCACAAAGCTGGCTGCAGTGTTTAAAGTCGATTCTTTGCACTTTTTTACTAGAATTGGCCGCAAATTTCTAAAGCCAACTCTCTGCACTATTTTCAGGCTTTTTGGTCTATTTTTAGTGCAATCCAAGTTCATTTACCTTTGCAATCTTTTAGGAGTTTAACTATACACTTAAATGAACAAATTAATTACTCAAATGTGTTTTGTAATTATCAAAATCATAAGTACAACAGGACACATACACTAAGTTAAGCCTAAATTAAAATGCATAATAATAATGTGTATGATGACAAAACAAACTAAAGAATTGAATGTGCTTCATAGAAAAATATGGACATAAGTACGATCTTAATGTAAGAAATTGAGAAAAATATAATATATATGTAAAAATATAAAAATATGAGCCAATTAAGGAAAGGATAATAAGGGAGAGAGAGAATAATATCAAATAATTCATCAATATAGAGAGATATATGATTAACAAATTTTTATAATTTATTTGAGTAATGTTATAAAGTCCGATCAACTAATAGGTCACTTGTCCTT